GGCGTCACACCGTGCCGTCAGGGGAGGCGGGAGCTGTCACGGGCTGCCGTCGAAATCCGGGGCGGGGGACGCGCTGCATTTGCTGTCAGGTGGAGCCGTCGGCCACCTTGACGTGCGCGCGGCGCCGCGGCGCACTGCGCAGGCCGCCCTGCTGTGAGGACACGTTGCGCGTTCCCCTCATGAAAGCATGCGCATGCAAACGCATGCACGCACACGCCCCCGCACCAACACACACATATGCACACTCTTACACAAACAAGCACATATTTATATTTTTACACATGCACACACAACCTAAAATATGCACACGTGCGAACACCCCCCAACACTCACGCGCTGTCAGGCCGCATTCTTGGCCATCATGGGGTCTGAGGACTGCGCAGAAGCTTGCGAGAAGCTGCTCAGGCTGCCGCTCAAGGTGGGCCGCCGGCGCCCTGACACGCGCGCGCATGGCCGGATCCTTGCCTTGTTCGCCCCCTCGCGTGGGTGTTGGTGCCAATCGCTTCCGGCCGCCCCTGAATTGGCTGTGGACAGGCGGATGCAAGCGCGCACGACCCACGCATGCAAACGCACGTGCGCACAAGCACACACACGTGCCATGTCAGCGTACGCATGCATGCTTTACACACTCTTTGACTCCTTTTGTTGTAACTGTGCATGCGTGCGCGTGTGCGTGCGTGCGTGTGCGGGTATGTGTGTATCCACTTCATTGTTCGTGCCTGAGTGTGCTCCTCAAACCTGTCCCTGAGAATGTCACTCACACACAACACACTTACCTCCCCTACCTCAGCCACGCATCACTCTCACACACACACAAACACACACACACACACACACACATGCACACAAACACACTCTCTCAATCTCTCAATCTCTCCCCACCCCCCCCCCCACTCTCTCTCTCTCCTCCCTCCCTCCCCCCTCACGCCCTCAACCCCAGGGGGAGCAGGACAGGGAGGTGGTGCGGGTCCTCATAGACTGCGCGCTGCACGAGGTGCCCTGGAACCCCTACTACGGCCACCTCGCCGCGCGCATCGCGGCCGCCTCCAAAAATCACAGGGTGGGCGGCACCCGCGGGGCGCGCTCGAGCGCGCGTCGCCGCACCGCGCCGTGCTGGGGCCGGCCTGGCTTGCTTCGCTGTAGGGGCTGGGGGTGCCTGGTGGGCGGCTTGGCGTTATTGGTTCCCCAGGGGCTTGTATGCTGCGTGTTGCTGCACCTTCTTGCCCAAGTTGGCACATGTGCTGCGTGGCGCCGATTACATGCACACAAAGCCACACTCATCCAAGCACGAGCCGTCAATCCGGATCGTCTGCACACACATGAGACCTGCACCACCCTTTCACACACAAGTATTGCGCAATCAGTGCGTGCGCGTGCAGCGCAGCAACTCTTGAAATCATTCCCTCGCAGCTCAACACACACATACACACACACACACACACAATAGACACACAAATGCACACACACCTTGTGTTCGCGCACGCACAGATGACTCTGCAGTTCACAGTGTGGGACCACATAAAGGAGGTGGAGGCCGCCCCAGTGGCCCGACTGGACAATCTGGCAGCGCTGCTGGCCGCGCTGCTGGCGAAGCAGGCGCTGCCGCTGACCTCGCTCAAAGTGGTGCGTCGCAGGGCGCGCGCGCGCGTGTGAGGGAGAGAGAGAGAGAGAGAGAGAGAGAGAGAGAGAGAGAGAGAGAGAGAGAGAGAGAGAGAGAGAGAGAGAGAG